CTTATATCAAAAGCATATAAGGCCCCAACAGTGCCAGAACAGCTCTGCAAAATTTCATCTGTGACTCCACAGTGATGACAGGGTCAAAACGGAAACATGACTGCTGTCTGAACAGAGAGGCAGGGATGATTTAGTTTTGCAGGCAGAGGTGTAAGTTCAGCCTGCATGGCTGAAGAATGTGAAACTCGCTGATCACAGGGAGACCAACAGCACGAATCCCGGAGAGGAGAACTGCTGGCTGCCTGGGGGGACACAGGTGAACAAAGCCACGCAGAACAAGAATCGCACAACTGTTTCAGGATCAACTGAGGTACGTGTTTGTCTACTACAAATGCCTACTCAAAGACAAAGAAAATGCCTTTGACTAAGGCAAGGGTCACAAACTGTAAGTGCTCGATTTTTTTTGGCTAACACCAGCTGACTACCAGCACTTTCCATTAACAAATGCATTACTGATACAATCCAGAATGAAACAGAATGACTGGTAAGATTCCAGTTCTGCGTAACTTGATTACACTCAAATGGAAAAAAAAAACATATGACACTACTCCATAGACACTCACAGTGAAAAAGAAAATTCACATAACCTTTCTAGGGAAAATGATATAAATAATCTTTTAATCTAAACTTAGTATTCCTCACAATATCGATTCCACATTTGGCATACATCAGTACATCCATCACTGACTCAAGACATCCTATCCAATCCCTGAAAAGAACAGGGAACTTGATTTTGTGTAAAGTTAAGATCCCTTAGAGGACTATTTCAAGTATAATAAAGTACCATAAATTGATAAATTAATATACTACAGTATCACTTTTTCCTCATTACCTTCTGCTAGTAATTACTGAAAAGATTCAAATGTAATGTAAGTGACCTCAATTCTGCAAGTGCTTAATCACAACCAGTATATGACCCATTTCTCAGCAGAGCCATTTGAAAATGTATAAAAAAACATATAAAAAACCCATTAGAAATTTACTATTACTTTTATCTAGATATCTGCAATATATATGTATGACCATTTTGTCAACAAAAGGAAAACAAGGAACTAAACCCACTTTTTTTCATAGAAATTTAATTTTACTTTTAAAACCTATTTAAAATATGATTACTTGTAATAATTACTTATGTATTTTGCAAACACATAATCTATATTTACATGCATGTATATATGCAAATGGTTAATGTATTGTTAATTTGCAAAATATTCTAAGTTGTTCCATTCCACTAACACATAGATACGTTGCAATGTGCTTTAAATCTTTTGTACATACTCTTTGATACACCCCTTTATTGACAGTAAATCCTAGTATTCAAGCCCAAAAGAATCTTTCATATTCCAGATAAAGTCCCAGTTTCAGTTCAGCTATAAAAGCTAAAATATGTTACCTGTCCTTATGGACACAGTAGGCCACAGCATAGCATATGGTCTGTTATAGCTACTGAGGTTTTTAATTATTACTTGCATGGTCAGAGAGAACAGTTCAAAGCTACTTCCAACTGAGCATCTGCTGCCTCTTACATCCATGACAAAAGATGTGCAGTACCTGGTCCAACCAGATCAAGTGGTGTATATACATCAACTTAAGCCGTAACTGTGCTGCAGGCATTGCTGCCCCATAGGTATAGCAATTCTTCTGTTGCTTAGTGATAGAACTACCTTCTCACACAGAAAAGCAGTTAGCATCTTTTATGAAACACAAAGTGATCCAAAGAAATACTTAGTCAATCTCAATTCAGTAAAACAAAGCAGCTGCCCTAGGATATACTCCACAAACAAGTCAAACTGTTAGGACAATCCTGGTATTAAGCGAACACCAAGCCATAGTGATGACTATCAAGCTTTAGAGCAGCCGTGGCCTAGCAACAGAAGCAACTTTTATCCAAGTCTCTTACTCAGCTTCTTAAAAGAGACCTTTCCCTCCATCCCTGCTCATTACTTGCCCATCATCTGTCCTCCACGACACAAGCAGCCGCTCTCAGGACATGAAGTGACGGGGCTTTGGAGGGATTGTAACGAGGGACTCAAGGAACAAGCCTGGTAACTGAGGGTGTATGGAAGTCCCTACAGCGAGGGTTCTCTAGCAGGGAGATGAGGAATGGCTGCATGGGAACAGAACCACCTTTTTTTTTTGGTGGTTTTATTTTTTTTTTTAACTTGAGTACAACTATTTTGGGAAGGAAAAAATGCGGGTGAGATACAGGATGTCCAGATCATTACTCCTAGCAGGGCACTGAGCTGGAGATGCAGCACTTGGGGGGATGCCAGAGTGTGGGAAGATGTGGGTATCTATGGGGTAGCAAGCAGGAGTCAGCCACTGCTGCAGAAAGCGAGAAGGGAGCTCTGAAACGGAAATGCTTGAGAAACTGCCAAAGCAATTCAGTCTTCACGCAGGTTTCGGTGAATAAAAGGAACCTTCTTCTTCAAAGGGCATAGGGAAAGCCACGTCTCTTCATTAACTGACTGAATAGTGTTAAAAAGGCACAGAAAAGGACTAGGCTTACCTCTTCATGATACCAGCACATGCAAACAAATTCAGTTCTGTAGAGACGCAGTGGCACAAGATCACAGCAAATCAGATCTTTTATTGCTCCGAAGCAGAAACAAATACATAATTTATTTGCATTCATGTATGTAAGCATAATAAACACAAACCTCAGGAAAAAAAGCATGAACCACTATCCCTTTAAAAAAGTTCAGTTTTTAATGAAATTTGAAAACAAGCAGGGAAGTAATAGAAATAATGCAGCATAAGCAATTTTTTATCTAATGTAACAGTTCAGAAGAAACTCCTTGGTCTTAAAATAATTTTTGCCCCTTTTGAAGTCAGTTGAAAAGTTTTTTTTTTATTTAAAGAAAAACTAATAAAGGAGTAATTCCTTGGTAGTATGGTAACACCATCTTCCAGCTGGAATTCAAATGGTGTTATGAGGCAATGAAAGTAAAATCTTGAAGAAAAACAAATTTATGTTTGTCCTGAGTGTCTCTTCACTTTTAATTTGAAAGCTTTCTAAACAAAAGGTGTGCAGAAGGTTGTGCTCTTATTCTGAAACCTGTCTAGCTTTTTCTTTTTTCTTAAACTTTGTTTTACATTATGAAAATATGGGGACTTAACAACACCTGCCTTTGTAAAATTTTTACGTGTGTACATGTGTTCAAAAGCCTGTTATCCATGTCACCAGTTCCCCAAAGTGTGACACAGTGGCACACGGAAGGCAGATTTCATTTTGGTAGCAATATTTGGAAGTAGAAAGTGGACAAGGACAAAGGACCAAACATTAGAAGCAAACACATTCCTTTCTTTTTAATCAATATCTTGTTAGACTGGTGGGTTTGACTCATTAATCTTTTGGTAAGTGCAAAATGAAACAGATTGACCATTACAGCAAAAAATAAAATTGCAAATTAAACTCATTCTAATGAAATTGCTAGCAAAGAGTGCTACTTCATCATGCACAAGAAGAGTTTGGATTTCAGAGCTCCCGCTTCTTTCAGGTAATGCATTTAGACGTAAATCCTGAATCCAAAACATCTGAAAACAAACTTTCTAAACTCTTCCTCTTACATTGTGTATATTTTTAAAGCCATGTAAGTTCCACCAAAAAAGTAAAAAAGGATTGTATTTTGTGTTTAATAGCTTTGAACAAATCTGAAATTGAACTTCCTATGACCGCTGTGTTGCATCTAAATGATCACTGTATTATAGCTGAGATGGGACATACAAAAAACTCAAAAAATAAAATGCCTGGAGGTTTGCAATGAATTGGCTTTCGTTTCCTCAGCAACTGCTGCATAGTGATTGATCTACTACTGTACACACAGGAAATTAGCAATTAAAGGCTCCTAGGCATCCAGCATTAGATCCTACAAATCCTGTTAACCACAGGAGCAAAATTAGAAGAACAAGAGGAATGAACAAAACTAAAAAGTGCTTATTGTAAGCTGAATGGAATTTGTCCTTTGCTGAAAAACATGAAAACTCTGCACAGACTGCACGCACAAGAGTATTTAATGGAGGATTATAACTCAAGACAACTATTTCTCTGATCCTGCAATTCTAAGGCATTTTGCAGATGTCTGTGAATCCCAGGACGCAATACAAATTTCTTTCTGTTCTCCATAATATAAACTCGCATTTTATGAAAAGACACATTTAGCCTTCTGTCTAGGAAAATAATCTTCATAATGGAGGTTGAAAGATGAATCTGAAACGAGGTAAACTAAATTAATGATGAACATCGTTCATATATGTAAATATGGCATTAACAGCAAAGCCTAACTGATACCCTCATTTCCTTAAGGAATGCTTGGACCATATCCCAGAGTGCAGGGGAAACAGATTCCCAGCCCAGCACAAGCCTTGCCAGCCCCAGAACTGGAGCCAGTGTCACACACAAACCTGCACATCCAAGTTGCACACAACTGCAACTTCAGACTCCAAGCCAGCCTGGAGATTGCTGCGCTGTGCTTCTCCACAGGAATAAACATGCCCTTTCTGTTGTTCCAATGGGAACAAAAGTGCATCTACACTATCATTAATCACATGAGACTGCTTTGTTTCAGATTTGTCACAACTAATGCAGGTTTGCTGAATTTAGCGACAGATACAGGATTTATCTAGACCAGGAGAAGACAAAAAGGTTATATAAACTTTGCTAACATAGCCAGACAAATTAAATTGTTAGTCCATGCCTAAACAAAAGGTCACTATTAGCTCAGGGTTAACTAAAACTTCTTAGCTAATCTCTGACCTAATTTTGACCTCTCTTGTTAATTGCAGAAATGCTTTCAGTTAATATATTGGTTCACTGTGTTTACACCCCCCCACTTCTGCAGTTTCTTGCCTTGCAGCTCATAAATTAAAGACAAAATATCTTTTTCTATGACTAATTAGTACCCAATTAACTCCACGTTGTTGTCTACAGCGGAACCGATAGTAAAGACAAACATTAAGCATTTTAATCTGTTTCACACAGGAGGCATTTATGAACATGAAGAAAGGAACATCAAAACCTTTATTTCACTTTTTTTCCTCCAGATCATAAAAATCACAAAGCTTGTAAAAATACCCAATTCCGCCACTTCTAGTGGTTCCCATTAGAAAGAGGTACAGTTATATCACTGTTAGAAGAGAAGAACTAATTAAAGAACATGTGTAAATCTAATGGATCTGCAATCACATTAGTAGATTGTATCCAGACATAATCATTTGTCATTGCATCGTACTTCTTACAGAGCTGTTTACACTGGGCTTGTTTAACTCCTTTAGTATCATAACCATGGTACGTCAGGGTATGGGTATGGCGTATCCATATCCATAAAACATCCCCTTCTGCAGATGAGTAGTTTTTGCTCAAGTAAAAGTGAAGCACCTGAGTTATAATTCCAGAATGCGTTTCTCTACATTCACAGGTTTTTTTAAGTCAGAAGTGATCAGGTTCTGGTAAAAACATATGCAGGCTTAATTTAAAAATTAAGTCTGAGAAAGAAACTAAACCCAACTGCATTGTAAAATGTATATAAATTTATGAAAAGGAATTCTAATAATGTAAGAAATAAAAATCTCAAAGTTAAAAAGAACTATACAAATAGCATGCCTTATGTTCATCTGAACTAAGTAATATAAGGAATTACAGTTTGAAAACCTACTGTAATTAGATACTGAAGTTAAAATGCTCAGCAGAAATTCAATATACTTCTAAATGCTGAAGCCTTACCATTCCATTACATTCATATTCCTTGTCTTTTTGTACTGATAAAAGCTTCTCCAAAGTAAATTTATCCAGTCATATTGAGGATCATACTTGTCACCCAAGAAATAATATAACTCCAAATTATGCTGAGAGTTTTCTTTTTCTTTTCTATAGGAGATGAGAATGATCTTCTATCATCTGAACAAAGGCACCTGGCCTATTGCAAAAATGAAAAAGCTTGTCCATTACTGTTTGTCACATTGGTAGATAAACTCTTGCCTACGAAGGGCCTAAAAGTTGTTTTATTACAGTACAGTCAACTGTTTGGATCAAATCCAGATTCATATTCATTTGCTAGCTGCAAATAAATCCCACTGTACTGTCAGTACAGTTTTCTTTATATTTTAACATTATTCACCAAAAGCTCCATTCTTCTGAGTTTGCGCTTATTCTTTGGCATTGGTTTGTCATATAAGCCATTTTTGAGAAGATGCTCCTTGCTGTGATGGATCTGGGCACCATGCTGAAGCTGGAAAGAACATAAGGCTTGAAGTGGACGGAGTATAGTCTGCAGAAAGATGAAAGGGTGGGGGAGACAAAAACCCCAACCTTTTAGTAAGCTATTTTAGACACCTCAATTATTCCAGGTTTTGTATTTAAGGACTACTTAGAAATGCTGGTAAAATATCATTTGGATCATAAATGCTGATAAAATATAACCTATGGAGACACAGAGGGCACAGCTGAGTAAGACATGTACTAAAAAGAAGCCACATAGCAGACGTACACCCACCCACCTGCTGTCGTCCCTTACCCCTTCCTTGGACCCATCCCCTGACTCCAGCCCCAGCGACATTACTGTAAGTTATGGCTTTAACTTGACCTTAGCAATGGACTATGATCAATGATTGTGGGTCAGCCAACAAGCTGTAATAAAGTAAGTAACAATAAATAAGCTGTTTCTGCTTACATGAAAATACCTTGGGGCAGGGTTTTAGAAAGAGAGGAGGGACTCATGATCAAGGCAGCTGGACTGCTGTCCTGGAGACTGGACTGCATCCCTGCTTCTGCCCAGCAATATTATGTAGGACTAACGAAGCCACACAGACCAAATTTATCTCAAGTGGTTCCTAATTGCACATTCTTAATTTTCTGGTTGCCTGCCTCAGTATCATGGGGTCTCATGTGCAGATGCGTAAAGCAATCACAGATGCAACTGCAGGCAGCAGGAGCTGAGTTTCAACGAAGTAAAATGTGACTCTTCTAAGCACACAGGAGAATCAAGTGACTTATACTGGGCATCAAACTAAGTGCCCATTTTTAACCTCCATGGCTTTCAACTTCAGTTCCCCATCTTATACGCTGGGAATAGCGGTCATTTAATTCTGAGAGGGTATAAAAAAGTGCACCAGTGTTTATGAAGCTCTTGGCTGTTGCAACATTTATGGAAGCACCTTTGAGAAACTGATAATTTTGTCTTTGAAAAGCAGGCTGGGCCAATTCTGAGTAGTAGGGATAAAACAGAATAGAGGACTGGGAACTGTAGACACTAACAAAACATTCACCCTGGACCTGAATAAGACAGAAGACCTGATGAAGGAAAAATACGCCAATGTTGTCCTAGTACAACAAAGGAAAAAGTAAATATACAAAACCCACTTTAATTTCAGTATTTCTGATTTTTCATGGGTTTAAATTCTACAAAAAATAATTGCCTTCTTTTAACACAAAAGCATATGATAACCACACTGTCATAAAGGACTCACAAGTTTCTAGAAGAGTTTCTTTATGCAGAGTTCCAATTTCTGAGCCATAGTTTCTTGTGTGGCCACACACTTTGTCCCAGTCTGGTTCTAAATGTGGTTGATTTAATGTTGAAGTGACTCTTTAGTGTCACAGAGGCAAACACAGGGGTGGCATATTCTACACTATGCCAGTTCCAGAAGTAATTTTTGACCTGGGAACCTTTTTTAGTAGGTGGAGGTCAAGTATCAAAACATTCATTATCTGATGGAGAGGGATATGAGCATCCCAGGGTGGAGTCTACAACACAGCGAATACATGGATGAGCTTTAAACCTCTTTCACATGCCCTTCTGTACTACATTTTGGGCACAAAATCAGACTGCAGACCTGGGTCTATGTTGCAAAACTACTCATAGGTCTTTTTCAAAAGGCTTATTAAATTGATATTACTAACGTCAGCAACAAAAGATTAAGGAGGTCATTATCTTAATAACCTCTTCCATCACAGACTAGTGGGATCACAACTTGCAAGGAAAAGGCTAATGTCCAATTAGTATTCTTTGACCTGGGATAAACTTAAACTCAAGAACTGTTAAATCCCAAATTCCTCAAATGACATGTAAGAGTTGTGAGCTGGCTGGTAGGAGGACATAACCCAGGGGGTTGCTTTCCATGGCTGCAGGAGTGCGGGAGGTCAGTGGGACAGGCTTACAAAAGCATTTTATCTTTGAGCTAGCTGCAAGAGGGTGTTCAGATCACCTCTGCTGCCTAGTTTTTGCAGAACACAACTTACTACTCAATTGCCTGTCTCCAACTGGATCAGTTTCTGGGGTTTTGAGAGTCAAAGATCACCTTGCTGTGCATTGACTTCAGAGGATCTTTTAAAAATACAGATCAATTAAAAAAGGTAATTATTATTTGACTTCAGTATATATTCTGAGACCAACACATACTAAAAAGGAAATCAATTCTACCTGACTGCTAACTAAAACTTTTTAGAGTCTAGCACCAGTTATTCTCAATGACATTTGTCAGCCCTGTAATTTTAAATTCAGATCTTAACTGAAGAAGTTAACCATAAATTTAAAGGTAGTTAAATCTTTAATATCTTATGTAAAAGAGATAGAAACTTCACAGATACTAATCTCCAAATTTTCTTAAGTTTCTCCCATCTTGGAAATACTCTTCCTTTTTAACAAGTTGTATCCAAGGATATTCTAGAAATTTCCAAGAGCCTCAACTGATAGTACCTGAAGTAGTACTATTCCCCACTATTAGAATATGAAGAGACTGGTGAAAATATCTGAGTATTTCTATGACAATTTTGTTCTCAACTGAAGTAAAAAAACATTTTAAGGTGTTCATACATATACACCATCTCCTAACATCTGTTATAGATTTAAAAGTAATAAACTCTCCTGATTTTAATTGGCTTCAGGTTTTATCTACCATTAGGGAAAAGCACAAGAAAGTTGATGGCACAGAGCCTTCAAGACCCAGCACCAAAATTTCTTTCCAAACACTGCTTGCCACATTATTCAGTACCAATGAATCACTAATCAACTAAATAATCATCATGTTTTTCAGGCTTCATGAAAATCAGACATCAGAGTGATTATAGGCTATAATCCCTGCCAAGTTTACCAGTATCTTCCTTTGCTACAAAATACTAATAATACTTTAGACTGAGTATAACTTCGGTAAAATAAGAGTGCAACATGTAAATTCCATACATCACAACTGAACTGTTGTTAACAGTTGACTGTTAATTACAGTTAATTAACATAGCACATAAAACAAAATAGTTTTAAATATAGCTAAGAAATATCCAAAAGAAACTGTTTAAAAAGAAAAATCAATCTAGCATGTAACATTTGTACAGTTTAGTGTACTACAGTACACGGTCTATGTTTTTAAGTATTGCAGTAAGAAATGTCAAGTGAACTCAGAAAAACATGACAGGAAGAGATAACTACAGCAGTACATCCATCTCTGCATTATTTGCTCTGCACTATACACAGTAGTACTTCTATTTGTTTTGGGCTAAATCCCCAACTGCCATCTCTGCGGATTTTTATTCTGTATTGTGGCAAGCACAGCCTATATTTGGTGCCTTATAAACCAACTTTTTAAAACAAGTAATGTACAGGTGAAGAGGACCTGAGTCACTCTTCTCAACATATTTTTGAATTACAGGAGGAAGTGCGCAAGCAAGTAGTACAGGATGACAGAGACTTACGGAACACGACAAGAAAGTCAGTAATTTGAGCATACCAGAGTTAATAAATATCTAAAGAAAAATAGTTTCTATCAGTACATTCTTGTTTTAGTTTGCTATGCAACAAAACCATTACAACGTCATTAACATTCTGACTGTCAAATGCGACATTAATAGCTAAGTACCTTCGCTGTCCCTCTACTATTCATAAAAGAAAAACTCAGGTGTTTAAAATTACGTACCTCTTGTATACTCTTATTTTTTTCCATGATAGTAAGAGCAACAGCTGCACATTCAAGTGTAGACAGACAGGTGTTTGTTGGCTGCGTACGAATTACATACTGACTTGAAATGTTGGTTTTTAACTGCACCTGGAAAATAGCAAAGTCTACTAAAATAAACAGGTCAGTATAGCAGACAAGATACTTCTTCCCTACGCTAAGGAAAACAAAGCCCCTTCCCCTCTGTGGACAGTTGCCTTCTTTCCTTTTTGTCATTTTGTCTCCCAGTAGCCAAGGACCTTATGCTACTGTTTAGTATAATACTGTAACACCCATGAGCTGCCATCAGAGACAAGAACTGCACATTTGTTACTGTACAAACATGTAAAGAAAATACAATTATTTGTTAGAGAAAGACTGAATAAAATTTTAGCAACCAACTTCAGTTGGCATACATATCCTATAACAAAAATAAAATTATTCATCTATGCTTGTTTTACTGCACACTCTAAACACACACAGAGTCCCATACAATGCACAATGACTGTATAGTCACTGACACAATTTACCTTGGTTAAATATTATTTGTCAAGCTCTGAATGAAAGACTTTTAGAAAGTACATTTATTCATATAATGTACTAGGTCACTGATTAGAACTATTTGCTTGCTGAAATCGTGTTTTAAAATGATCTATTGGCTCTGCCTCAGGTGATAACCACTCCATGCTATCTCACAAGCTGAAGGTTTTTAAGAAATTTAATTCAACCATTTCACTGCCTGTCTTTTCAGCTCCAAAAGCTTTTACTGAGTTTATAAATAGCAGTTAAACATCATAGCATTTACATTATTAGACCTTATATGAAAATTCAGATATTATTCCTCTATGCATAAAATTTCCATGTCCATATATGTTTAAAGTATAATTTGCTAAACAAGTTAATGTTTTAACAACATTGTCACTATTCTTAACCAAATATTATCAGTCCCTTTTCCAAGGGAAAAGTACAGTACAATAAACCTTATGGAATTATTATAAAAGAGCAAGTCAATTTTCTTTTTCGTAATATCACTCTCATTCTGCTTGCCAGAGGTTTTTCAGCATTCCTCACTTCATTATTTTCCCCCTTCACTTTTCCCATTTTTGCTTTTATATGTAATGCTTCATTTTCCTTCATCTCCTTTACATGCAATCACCTGTTCTTAAAAGCTCAAGATATCTCATTTATAAAAGGGAAACTCTTAGCTGCTGAAGAAACATGAATGAGTAAGATCAGATTTCAATGCTTTACCTGATCCAAATATAACGGGAACTAAAAATAAATAAATAAAAAGAAGGTGAGAAGAGAAGCAGAAATCCATTCTGGAAAGGACAAATAAGTTAGCTATGAAAGTTCAATATACTCAAATATAGGAAAAGACAGAAAAATATACCTTTGTGACAGAAGGTCCTAACTTGTTTATCAAAGGAAACTTTTTTTTTTTTAAATGCTAGTCTTGTTATTGATTAGGCGTGAAGGACTGAACCATGCACATTTCAGAGTGTGTTAGAAGTTTCCAGCAAGTATTGTTTAGATAGTTTGGAGAGATCACTTTCAACAGCCAAAGAATACAGACTGGGGTTGAGAAATGGAGAAGATGGAAACATGTTAGCTATGTAAAGAATACAGCATACTAACTTTACTATTTTTGCATTATATAAAATACTTTTGTATTCTTTTCACAACCAATACCAGAAGTGTCATTTTAATTAAATAATTTTAAAATCACATCTTCCAAAATCCATTTTGCCACCTTGAGTGAAGACCAATGCTTTTGCTATTTTAAGGTTGCTTACCACAATAATTAGCTGGAATGCACTGTAGTTTTAATCAGGTTATACAGTTACCAACTGTTAATTAAACTGAAAATGCATCAGTGGTCTCAAAGCACATAGAAAGGTATCTTTCCTGAACTTACTTACTTACTATTCTTAGATATTTGAAAGTAGTGGCCACAGGTGATGATATACAGAGTTATTTCTGGCAAATTCAATGGTTCCCTCCACTTAAAACTAATTTTCATTTTCTGCAGCTATTCAGCATATTTCTGCAAATGAATTGGCACAATGTATGAAAAATTACTTGATGAATGCCTGTTACTTACTATAAAGTCAGAGCTGGTATTTTATATTTATATAAGCCATGATAGTTGAAGTAGTTTATTATTCCATGTCTGCAAAGTCAGAGTCTTTAGTCTCTAGCTCTGTACTCTTGACTGTTGAAAGAAAATAATTTATACCTAGCACTTCATTAGCAGATTGTGCTTGCTATTACACTATACTGGAAGCCGATAGGCTACAATCTTTAATTTATAGTCATACTGCAGAATTTTTATCTACTGTATGAAAGATTTTAACAGTTACTTGGATATTCAACACCTAATTCAGCCCACATGCTGGGGAAACAGATCTAGGGCAGATTCAAGAATGAAGCTAGTGGATACATACAGACCTTTATCAAATACCTACTTCAATTTGGTATTGAAAAATCAAAAAGGTAATAAATTGATTTAGGAGAGAAAACATAGAATTTGGACAACAGTGCATATAATGAAATGCAAAGGAAAATTAAAATGCAATTAATATTTCCATTTGTTGTTCCTCAAAGTTTCCTTTGTTTTTGTGCTTCCTTTGCTGGGACCATGTATGGATCTCCATCATGACAGAGTAGGAAAGCTAGTTATTTCAAGCACAGAGAGAGCTATGCTGGAGGAAGCTTTTAGTCCCTACTTAGAAATTCCTAGATAGGTATTAAAATCCAGAGTAAAGTCAGCCCATTGTTTCTCCAGCATATATCCTGAAGCAGAGCAGAAACATATCCACACTTTTTCTCAACAGCTGACAGCCACATTCTTCATAGTCTCCCTATGGAGCTGGAGAGAAACCACCTCATGGACTACCTGCAGGCACACTGGCTTCCCCCTCCTTGGACATAGACAACAGTGCCTTAAGGCTTTTTTTTTTGTATGAGCTGGAAATATTTCTGTCTGCTGGTTTCTATACTTCCATTTCCTGGGGCTTATGCTGAAAAACTTTTAAGACCATCAGCTTTCCAGAGAAAGGAAAATTATTCATAATTGCAAGACAACTTCTATGAAAGAAAAGCTGCCTGCACTCTGTCTTACACTGTGGAGCCAAAAAGTCTGTAAGTGCAGCTCTCAAACAGCTGACATTGTACAAAAAGTCAACTCTATTTCTAACAGCAACAGCAGCAGCAACCAAATTTCCTCCTTCCTGGGAAGAGTGAGAGAGAATGGAAACAAGTGGTCTCCATCCATTTTTCTGAAAAATGACATATTCACCAGGATGAGATGAAAATAGCACAGGCAGACGGCACAGTGGTGGAGATCAGAGGAAGAATATCTGACCAGGACAACTCCCTGCTACAGTTTGTCTCTTAGGCTGCATTTTACCCTACTCTTTACTCCAGAGAGGCACAGTATCTGAAAAAGAGATCATTAGTCACCTGAAATACAGTCAGGGCAGCTTTTGTCTATCACAGATTGGATAGACTCACCAAATGGCTGTCTATCAGTAACTAGGTACGCTCACTGAATGAATAAAACACACAATGAGGAGCTCTATCAACTTAGAGCATAAACTGAATGGTAAGACAAAGCCAAATCAATACAGGAACAAAAATTAATTAATATAGTTAGTAGATATTTCAGACATGGGAAGAATATCTTCTTGAAAAAAACCCTGCCTAGATATATGAAATATTTATTGTTCTCAAATGTGGTTGTGTAGGAGGACAACTCTCATTTTCAGCCAACTGGTCTAAAACTTGCCTTGCCTTTTGTGGAGTTAATAGTTTCAGGTAGGGTATTGCAACAGGCTCATCAAAGCTTCTGCACTACCTAAATGGACTAATTCTTTTTCTGCCACCTGCATATCTCAAATCCAGCTGAACAAGCTTAATTCAAAGTTACGGAAATGTTCCTCCACGGTTAACATAAACAAAATCAGATTGCCTGCCCCTTACATTACACTTCAAAAACTCAGAATGAGCATAACATAAATACCCTATTTAAGTGCATTTCAAAACAACAATCATGATATTTTATAACCACTTCTCCATGAAATGATGAAGCTACCATGATACAATATTTTACTCCTTTTTTTAGCTGTCAAATTAATTTGCAAATCATATGCACACTTTGGAATAATTTCACTCACTAACAAAACACTGCAATGTCAAGTTGAAAAAACAGCAGCCTATTTAACACCACTCACCAAAATAAGCAATAGCATAAAACAGAAGATGGAAAGTACCTCAACCAATTCAAACTAGGGAGAGGAATTCAGATAAGCTGAATGCAATTACTCACTGGAATTTAGCCAAGACAATGAAATGAGCATAACTATTCTCTTTATAAGTGCAAGGGAGTTTGGGGCCTTAGTTTCCAAGACATCGGAAGCACGAAGAAACACATACAATCAAGTTTTATTTCTACATGTAACTCAAGTCCCAGTGTTTCCCAGCGCCTCAATGTTGGCAATTCTCACAAACCATTGCATTATCTTAGTAAGCACTGGCTTCTCTGCCAATACACCACCCTTTTAGCAAATGCTACAACCTTTGAGCGTTTACAAAGGATTTGAACCACAGTAAAAACAGTGATCCTTCAGTATTTCTCAGGGCCCAGTTCTTCTTCCATGGCCCTCTTTGGAGATGTCCCAGGCAAGTGACAACCCAGCTGATGCTGTTCATCTGTTAGCAACTGATGGAAGCAAAAGTGTTGCCTTGATGGGTTTAAAGAACTGCTGTTTGAAATTTTAAAAATTTAAGTCAGTAAAGACAGGCAACTGATTTCTGCTCTTATTTTAAATATCAGGACTGGAGCTCTTGCAGAAAGCTGTAAGTGCTATCCTCAGTCATCTCCTGAATGTCAATATCCTTATGTTTTTACCTTTTCTACACTGATTTCTTCATCATTACTCTTACTAGCTTTTCTCTCCAAACAGAACCCAGCATTATGTAAAATTACGTTTGGAAAATAGTGCACCCCCCAGAACACAGGCTATAGAGTTAGTACACCTGACTCATAAGGCACACTCAACAGTTCTTGATTTTGCCTGTCCTGTTTTCTGCAGCTAGACTACAAACAC